CATAGTTTCATAGTTGGTAGGGTCGGAAGGGACCTGAGCAGCTCATCAAGTCTGACCCCCTGCCATGGCAGGAAAGAGTACTGGGGTCAAACAACCCCAGCAAGGTGTTCATCCAGCCTCCTCTTAAAACCCCCAGGGTAGGAGCCAGCACCACTTCTCTTGGAAGTTGGTTCCAGATCCTAGCTGCCCTGACCGTGAAGTAGCACCTCCTGATGTCTAGCCTGAATCTACCCTCTGCCAGCTTGTGACTGTTATTTCTTGTCACTCCTGGTGGTACTCGGGGGAACACAGACTCTCCCATTGCCTGCTGGTCCCCCCTGACTAGTCTGTAAACAGCCACTAGATCCCCCCTCAGCCTTCTCTTGTGGAGGCTGAACAGGTTCAGGTCCCTTAGCCTCTGCTCTATAGTCAGTAGAAACTGCAGGCCATACTGCTCATTGCAGCTGCTGCTAAGAGGATATTTTAGACCCGACAAAGGTGCCTTAGGTGGGGTAGATTTTTCATTTCAGATTCAAATCCCAGGCTTCTCTGATATAAAAACTTGGCACATCATCTAGCTTCTATGAAGATCACTTTAAAATTCCTTTGAGAATAAAAATGAATTAAGTAACTTCAAGTTCCTCACACTGTTTGAAAGGCTCTCCTAATTTACTGCAACACTGTTTAGCAACAGCAATTTGTTAGTATATTACCTTTGTTGTATAAAGAAAAATTTAAAAGCTTACAGTCTTTAGAAATGTCTTCCTTATCTTTTTTACATTTGGTACATGCTAACTCATCTTCAGTTTTCAATAGAAACAAATAGAAATAATACTTGGAATAAAATCAGTTTGTGATGCACTTGAAGAGGCCCCAAATTTTTCCTTCATATGTTAGCATCAGCAAAGCTTTGGGAACAGCACTTGTTAATTATACAAATACTATTATAGCTAGGTTAACAGCACAACACAGAGACCTTGTCTGGAGCAGCTTCCAGGCTTTTAGCAGACTCTGAGAAACAATGAAGGCAGCAGAAGCCATAAATGCCTGGTCTCCAATAAGACTTCCTGCTAGTGCAACCGAAACACTGTTGGAAGCTTTTCCTAAATTCTCTGAAATAGAAATGTTCATATTTCTTGGTGACACAAAATTAAATTACTATTATACTGTGACTATTAAATGACTATTTAATTACTGTGATAGAGCAAGCAATTATAAACAGGGAGCAGCAGCAACATTAAGGGCCAGATTTGGTCCCTTCCATGCTTTTCCATACCAGAAGCCACAAAAAGGAACTTTCCCCTGTTTTCTTCCCAAGCACCATGAACTAGTGCTCCACAACACTGGAAGAAAATTACCATGGGTCCATGATTCTGCTTATCTGCTTGTGAAAGAGGATACTGACCACAAGCTCTTAGATGAGAGAAAGCATGAGGACCCCAGGCTCTATTTCATTCCAAGGTCTTTGTAAATAGCAATTTGTCCCAATCACACCATAAAAGCAGCTTTCGGTCTCGCAACCCAAAGGTTTGGTCAAGGGTACTAAATAAGCTTGTTTTTCTCCACTTTTGAAAGAAATCAATATCCAGATCTAAACAGAGTGAGAAAGTTTCTTCAAAAGCAGATTAATGAGTGTGTGAGGCAGTAACTATATTTTTAGAAGTGACTTTCAAAAGGTTCAATATCTTGGATGCTGCAGGTCTCTTTTTAGGGTCTGCTGAAAGCAGTTGGTCAATGACGTATTTCTGCAAAAGAAAAATATCACAGTACAATATATATAGCATAGGAAATGAAATACTGAATGTGATTTAATGTGAAAACCATTTAAAGAGAAATAAAGTGTTCTACTGTACCTCTGCACAAAACTGAGTGTTGAAAGCATCTGGAAATGTGCCTTTTCTTATTTCCGGCCACAACTGGAAGTTACATCAAATATTATTTTAGTATAACTTCCTATTTCTTTAAGTGATTCTGAACCATATAATGTATGAAAACTTAATACCAGTAAATGTAGCAGTATGGAGCCAGCAAGTCTTCAAAATGCAGCAGTTATCAAAAAAAGTAGTGAAAATTTGGCTATAAGATGCTTTTTTAAAATACTATGTAAAGCTTTGAGTTAGTTCACTTTTCCTTTGGAGAGCTTCATGTTCCATAGAACCTAATTATGTTTATATTTTGCTCTCAGAATTTTTAAGATTAAAAGCAGTGGCTCTGTACCCTTCCTACCTCATGAAAAAATCTCTGCCCCTCCTGATACGACTACTACTTGCTTACAAAGCAGATACAAACAGCACTTCTCCCCTCCACTTCCATGCACACATTCACTTAGTCTCTAAACACACGTATACATGGCTACATTGCTTCTAAAACTGTAGGAATCTGAATCAAAAACTGATATTCCAATCAATATTAACCTGATTTTAGGATTTATTGATGTTACTACCTTCAAAAAACTGAAGTAGCATGCTCAAAGCAAAGGGGTTCCCCATCCCTGATCTAGAAGGCAAACCTCAGATAGGAAAGATATTATTCCATCCTAATGATCACAGGGCCCAGTTGCATCTTGTACTTTAAACCTCTGCACTGTGCTCTGTGCAACACTTTAGCACATAGAATCTTTAGATCCATGCTACTTTGTGCCTGTTCCCGCCTTTTAGTCCGCTTTCTGCCTTCTGACAAGCAAAAGAGTACATTCTTTCCAGTAGATGTGTCCAAGCAACTGAAGCTTTCTTCTCTATGATGCCTCTCACTTTTGCTCTGATTTTTTTTTTCAGATCATCTCACTTTTAACCTCATTGTGCCAGCTGATCATAAGTAGGGCCCTGAGAAAATTGTGGATTTCTTGTCGAAAATTCGCAGTACGTGTGTGGATGAAGTATCAGTTTTCACACAATATTCACAGAACTACCACTGATCTTGGCAAATGGGTCCCAGTAGTTCCATGAATATTCCATGAAAAATGATATTTTCCCCACGCACGTGCGGCAGGCAGGCAGAAAGCCATAGACAGCAGAAGGCCGGGGACTGCAGCCAGACGACTGCAGAGCACTGCCCACCACAGCGGGTAAGCTGGAGAAGGGGAAGGGGAGTGGGGAAGGGGGGAGTGGATCAAGACACTCATTGTGAGAGAGGGAATGGGGCAGAGGCAGGGGCAAGAGCTGGGGTGAGTGGGGCCCCGAGACAGGTGTTGGGATGCTCGGAGTCCAAGTGGCTTGTTCAGGGACACGGAGGGGCTCCCGGGACTGCTTGCATCTCAGGACAGGCCCAGGGGCCACATGCCCCCAGATCTGTGTGCAGGGTAGAGGTGGCCTATTGCTGTGGGCTGGGCTCTGTGTGCTGTTGCTGCTGCTGCCCTGGGAGCTGACAATGGCAGGCACATGGTGTTGCGTGTGGCAGCTGGCTCCCAGGGCAGCAGCAGTGGGGCACAGAGCCCAGTGGGCAGTCCACCTCCGCCCCACGCACAAATCCAGGGGGCACATATCCCCTGGGCCTCTCCTGAGGTGCATGCAGCAGTGGGAGCCCCTCCCCCCACCTCAACCTCCCGGCTCTGGACAAGCCACCCAGGTTCCAAGCGTCCCACCACCAGCCCCAGGACTCCACTCAACACAGCCCATGCCCCTGTCTCTGCCCCACTCCCTCCCTCGTTGTGGGGGTCTTGATCTGCCCCTGCCCCCCATTCTCCTTACCTGTGGTGGTGGGCAGTGCTCCGCATGCCATCTGACTGCAATCCTGGCCACCTGCAGGCTCCATGTCTATCTGTGCATGCCCCTCCACCCCACTGCAGCCACCCAAAGCCTTCACCTGGACTGCCCTGCAGCCCCCTGCACTGCCTCACATTTGAGACAGGTAAGCCCCATTAGCCCCGGCCTTCCACCACCTATGCTCACAACCCTTTTAAATCACAGCGTGGGGCAAATGTTGTGATTTCTGCGCAGCCCACAAAATTGCGATATTCTTAGGGTCCTAATCATAAGCAGTCATCTGTAACATTTCACTTTTTGCAGACATTTGCCTTCTAGAAATGTCTAAGTTTCCACTGCGTAGAGCAGCCCTAACCACACACTTCCTGCAGAACCTAAAAGTTATGTCTAAGAAGATACCCTTTTCCCTCTTGTGACAGGCTTGGAGGAATCTGCTCCTAGCGTCTGATGCACCCTAGTGGTCGGACTCACCTGCCCATGCTTCTTGGCCTCCCTCACTTCCTACGTCTTGCCTGCTACAGCTTGATCTTACAGTATTTAAATGGGCAGGCTGCCTCTAGAGACCAGGGTAGCCTCCTCTTTGGTCCCTTCCTTCTTGTTACAGCCCTTAGGGCTCCACTGCCCAAAGGCCCAAACTCCACAAGGTATGTTTCCCTTTTAAGACAGCCCTATTTGTCCCTTAGAGGCTATAATCATGGCCTCCACCTACCCCGATAGCCATGTCCATGCCTCACAGATATCTCTTCTCAGTTGTCCCTGGGCCTCAGTCCTGTCTTGCTCTCTATACCAGTCCCTAGGGTCCCTGACACTGGCAAGGCTGCTCTCACCCTCTATGCCGACCTCTGGAGGACCTGACCCAGGCAAGGCTGATCTTGCTCAGCAGTGCCCTGGGGTCCCCAATTCGTACAAGGCTCTACACTGGATGTCTCAGGCTCCTCATATGACCTCCACACACCTCCCCCATATGCACAACCCAATCCTCCAGTGTTTAAAAATTCAAACACAGGAATAATAACTGGAACCCAAAGTGCTAACCCTCTGGTTGCAACTCATTCAAATCCCTCAGGGCTATAACAGTTTCCACAGTCCTTCCATAAGGAGCTGACTGGATTCCCCCAGCTCCTGGGGTACTTCCTTTTCCCTGGCAGCCAGCTCCATCCTCAGTTCTTTCTCCTGGAGGACTAGACTTCCAGCCCTACCTGAGAAGCTGAGCTTATATACAGCCAAGCCCTGCCCCTTCTGCTACAGCTAAGCCCTGACTGCTAAGGGGCCCAGGGGTTTCTGTTCAGTCTAACAAGTTGTTTGGACCCCCTCTGTCCTGCAGTCCTCCCTAGCTACTTAGCAGACCCAGGCCTTGAGGCTCTCTCCTAGCTTCTTATCCAAAATTAATCTTTACGTTTAGTAAGCAACTGAGCAGCAACAGCTAAGGAACCAAGCCTGCTCACTGTTCTGCTCTCAGACACTCCCATGCAGATTTTACATTCACTTTTGCTGGTTACTAACAGAAATTGCTCTTACCATATTTCTCACATACAATGCACACTTCAATTTCCAGCAGCTGGGGGTTTTGTGGGTTGTTTTTTTTGGGGGGGGTGTCTATCATTCACATTATGTTTCACCTTCACATTCTCAACCAATTCCTCCCTGTCTGTGAGCAGCAAGTCAAGAAGAGCTTTCCCACCAGTTGACCTCTTGACTACCTGTACCTACACACTCCAAGAACTTGCTGTACTGCTTGTTCACTGCTGGACCCTTCCCAGCAGATGTTATGGTAATTAATGATCCCCGTGAGAATCTTGCCTTTTGGAAAATCCCATTATCATGCTTATTATGCTGCAACACTGTTCTTTGAACTAGTGTGCCTTGTATACTTTTTCTGCCCTTCTGACTTTTCCACAGAGTTATTGCTATGTAGACTGGGTGGCTAAAATTAGACTCCTATAAACCATGGCAGCAGAGGGACAATAACATCTTGCTATCGCTCTGGTGGTACAAGCTTAAGCCCTTCTCTGGCTTCATACCAAAAGGCTGACCCAGCTGTGAGTGCATACCTGGTCACCGGGGCTAAGTAGTCAAGGGAGAGCTGGGCAAGATGTTAACTACATCACTTCCTTGCATGCTGTTAGCTACAGAAACTGGTACGCCTTAAATAGTTTTCTCTTAAACTATTTCTCATTAATAATTAAAAATAACTTACCTTATTTTTTTCATGGGCAGAGGGAAATATCCAAAGAATTTCAAAAAAAATTAAACCTAACGCATATATATCTACTTCCTGTTCATAAGTGTCTCCATCCTATGAAGAATATAATGCAAACAACATTAACCAGGTATGCCTTTTACACAAAAAAATGCATTTTAGTTAATGCAGTACTTGTAAAAGCAAAACTCCCTTTGAAATCATAGGGAGTTTGGCCTAAGATGACTACCTGACTGGGACAATATCACTGTGAAATGAAATTCTACTACATAGACTTTAAGCCATACTGTTAAGACAAATAACTGTTTACATTTTAGAGCTGGGCTCAGACAGAGCCAAGATTTTCCTAACCATGTGCCAGAGTTACCAAATGTATATTAAATTATCTAAATGGTGGCCTATTGAAAGCCAGTGGGCTGCTTTTCAGGAAGGATAATCATCCTGCTGACTTCAAGTTTTGTAGTACAGGGGAACAACAGTAAGACGGGATCACATCTTTTCCTAATGGCTTTTCCCAATAGTTTTGTCCAGTTTGAATCAAACCTACCCTGACTTAAAAGCAGATCCAGGAAACTTAAAGCAAATTGTTTTAGATTTGGTGAAATTAGGTTAGATGACAGCCAAAAGTGAGCTTGCAATGCCAGACTAATTGTGAAGACACTAGGACAACAAGGTTGTATTATTAAACCTACAAGAACTGTTAAAAAACAGTACCTGTTCTGGGCTCATATATGATTTTGTTCCCCTGTTTTTTGTCCGAGGCTCATCCTTCACTGAAGTTACAAGTCCAAAGTCACCTATTTTTATTTTATCTTCCCTTGATATGAATATGTTCTGAGGCTAAAAAACAAGTTAAAAAATGTAAGTTTTCACATTACAAAAATTTAGCAGCAAGTGTTAGTGTCCCTCTGTGGAAAAATTACTAAACATTCAGGGAAATGATTAGAGAAGTTACATTCATGAAAAACAAAATTTGTTAATCTGACAGATTTTAAACACGCAAGCCAAATTTGAACCCATGACTGCTTCAATGATCAGGGAGAGGTTAAGTGTGAGGAAAAGGCAAACAGTGTCCTATAAAACAACACTCTGTTCTAGAGTCAGAAATGGACACATTTCCTGCAATGCCCAATTCCTTGATGTCAGCAATCCAGCTGGCATAGTGTCCCCTCTCCTAGTTTTAGTAAACTTAGAGAATTACAGCCTCTATCAAATGATAGTAATCTATAGGATGGATCCAGAACTTTCCTCTCCAATACCGATTGTGAGTGTCAATGATGCTACGTGACAGAATTTTTATTTTTCTTGTTGCTTTTTAAAAACTAAAAATTACACACACGTGCCTTAAAAGAACATCTTTAAAGTTGCTAAATAGAACAATCAAAATTTAGGAAGGTGCCACAGATGTGAAAATCTTAATTCTGGCATTTTCCTAAATTTGTGTGTGTGTGTTATGATGCAGTCTTTAATCTCATATTAAAGACATTCCTGACTCATTCTCTGCACTGAATGACCATACTCTGAGAATGAATCAGGATGGTGTAGCAAAGGGGACTGTCGTCTGTAAAACCTCGTTTTTATGTTGAAGTAGTTGGAAGATATGTTATAAATGAGGCTGGGCACAGCCAGAAGAGAAAAGAACATTGCACGGCTCAAGACAGATGTAGGATGTCCTGTGGAATTCAATGTTATCCCTGTCTCTGCCACGGGATTCCTAGATGATGCTAGATAAATCATTTCAATCAAACCTTCTATAGATCATTAATTGTATCCTTATGAAAAAAACCCACAAAAACAAACAGATCTAGGCATTTCAGATTGGGCATCAAAAGTAACTAGATACTTTTGACCTTAATTTCTCTGTGCCTGACTTCCCCTTCTGTAAAATGCAGATAATAACACTGTCTCCTCCTCTCACAGAAGCATTATGGAAAATTAATTCATGTTTGTAAAGAATTCAGATAATGTAATTATAAACACCATGAAGAATGAGAAAGCAATCCTAGAGAAAGACATGAGCACAAAATGAGCACCGTTCATCAGGCCTGCTGTGGAAAAAACTGCGTGCAATTCTGTTTTTATACAGAATGTGGCAATAACTGACATGGATATAACAAAGAAATTAGAACTGACTAGTATGAACAGTGAAATCTGGACAATTACTCACTGGTATAAGTCATCACCATTGTCTTATTACTCACTACACTGAATATCCAGATCCTTTTGATTTGGACACAAAAAATTGGCTAATTCATCATCTGTTAAAGTTTAAGTAATTCATTCTAAATATACATCCATATTAAATCACAATAGCTTCTGATATTTAGCCAGCTTAAGAAATGCCTTCTATAGCACCTCTCAAAAAGCAATGAATGTTGTTCAGTCTCTCCTGCCTCAACAAAATGATGAATCATTCAGTTTTATGGAATTATTTTCTATTTTGGCAACAAAAACATAGAAGTATACAGAGCAAAAATCTTTAACTGATTACCCCATTATAATAATTTAATTCTTGTTTTGTGAGCCCTGTGATTTTTTTCTAGTAAAAACTGTACATCAAGCTTTTATCTTTATAATCTTACAGTATTCATCAGGCAAGCCAGATTGTGTACAATTTGTATTTGAAATTTGGATAATATATTTTTATTCATGATAAATGTCAAATATCATTCTCTATCATGTCTTAAAATAACATACACAATATCTCACAAAAAGTTGAAAATAGCTAACTACTAATAATTAGTTATTTCTGAATAATGTGTCATCATTACCAAACCCCTTGGAGTGACAAATTAACCAGATTTTACTGTTTGAAACAATTTTTGTTTTCTTCTGTGGTATGGTTAGAAAAGGCTTTCCAACAAATCTTTTTTTCCAGCACCAAACCAGGAAACAGATTGGGCTACTATCACTATTAGTATAAGGAAAAGGTTTTGTGCAACTCTATTACCAGAGGAAGTTACAGTACCCAAAAGAGTATGTTTCTGTATCTGTCGCTGGCAATCTTAGGGTGTGGGAACAATTAGTACATAGTATAAGCATGTTAGCTGACAATTCTTTTGTAGAGCTATTAAACTGTGTATTTGCTTGGTTAAGACCTTGCAGTCAGCTAGTTGTTGAAAAAGCCAACTATGATACTTGTGGGCACAATTTTTATGGATGTATCTAAATAATAAACAACTGAAAATCCAATACTAATCTTTACGTCTGTCTACTCATCAAAAAGTGATTGATTCTGCTTACCTTAAGGTCTCTATGGACTAAACCTCTAGAATGAATATATTCCACTCCTTTCACTATTTGTTCAAATATGTTTAGAGAGACACCCTGGTTATGTTGCTTCCCTCTTTGCTTATCAATCCAATGCATTAGTGTCCCTTTCTCACAAAATTCCATTTGGATGAAAAGGCAAGAATATAATCGGCGCTTTCTTTGACTATAAAAGAAAAAATATAAATCAAATCATTAAAACAATTTAGATATTTCAGTTAAATAATGTGAATGCACTGCAGAATTGATTTTTAATTACCTTGAATTGCTCTCGTCAAAGATGAAGTCATCCCCAGACCAACAAGTATAATACCTTATGATATTTTCATGGCTGAGATTTGATAGTGCTTCTACTTCACGTTTTACTTTACTGTTTAAACAAACACATATTACCATTACTTAACTGAAACATTTCTGTAAAAATTACAGCAAAAGCTCTATTATCCAGCATCCCCGGGAATGGGGAATGCCGGATAACAAAATATGCCAGTTAAGTGAGCGGCCCGGGCTGCCACTTCTCATGCTGTGACTGGGGCTTCCCTCTGCCCCTCCCGCCACATCACCGGCCCTCCCACTGCATCACCGTCCCCCCTGTGGGCCCTGCGGGCCAGGCAGTACGAGGCAGGTCCTGCACAGCTCCACACAGCCTGTTATGTCCCCGGGCCACGGGGGCTTGGCAGCACAAGCGGCTTTGACCCGGGCCATGGGGGCTCAGAGAAACCGAAAGTGCCATGGTGGACACTTACGGTTTCACTTTTCCTTAGAAAAAGGGAAGGAAAGATTGCAGCAAGATCTGGATAGGTTACAGGAGTGGGCTAACATAAACAGGATGCATTTCAATACTGACAAGTGCAGGGTGCTGCACTTGGGCAGTAGAAACCAGCAGCACACTTATAGAATGGGAAACTCCCTTCTAGAGAGCATGGAGGCAGAAAGGGATCTTGGAGTCATTT